GGCAGCGAGGTGCTGTGTGGGACTTCCCAAAGCGCCACCAGCGTCTCCGGCATCACCGACAACCTGCCCGCACCCCGACATCGCAGGGCCCTTCCCCGGAAGGACAAAGATGGGGAGATCTGCGAGGCGACACAGGATGGGCAACGCCATTCAAACGCTGGGGGTCAGACAGTGGCAAAGGCGCGGGGGCCTTTTTTTTATATTAAAAAAAAAATAACGTATTTTGGAGCAGTGCAACAACCCCACCATGCAACAAACTGTCACCAGAGCAGCAACCTGCAACGCGCTTCGGAAAAGTCACTCTTGCCATCAACTGCTCCGCCTGGGAACCTGTGAAGCATCCCCGATGCCGGCGGGATTGGGAAAGGCTTTTCCCGATGTTTCGCTCCCAGCACCACGCTCCAGCAGCGCTGGGAGCCCGAGCGAGCGGCTCCCGAGACAACAAAAAAAAAAATACTCAAACACGTCGACGAGCACCAGTAACACGTATCTACGTATCCCAACACTTCGCCTGCCCTTCGCCTTCAACAACGGGGCTCACGGCCACCCGGGAGCAAGCAGTATCCGACTCTCCCAGTCACTTGATTCGCTTTTATAAATGAAGCCGAGTCTGAGCGCAGAGTCCTCAAAACCACCCTGTGCTTAACACGCAGGGATTGCTCTCGCCTCGACCGCTGCAGGTTAGGGCCTATGATTATCAAAAATACAGCAAAAAAAATACTACAAACCCAAATGGCTGCCCGCCCCAGCGAGGGGAGAAAGCTGACCGGGCAATGCAGCTCGCCGGGCACACACAGCCCGGCCTGACGCTGAGCGCGACGCTCTGCCAGCGATGCTGGGGAGAGGTGGGAGAGCCGCGGCAGGGCCAGCAGCGGAAATTTGGGTTGGGTGAATCTGTATTTTAAGGGATGGAAGTCAGAAAACTGACTCCCACCAGGCTCAGTGGGATGCAAAAGCAAATATCAAAGTGTTTTGCTGAACTGAGGCCATACAGTGATGCTGAGGGAAAGCCCTTCCCAGTGCTCCCAGCTGCCTTTACTGGTGGAATCATTAAATAAAAAAATTAAGTTGCTCAGCCTAGTTTTGAAAGACAGGGCAAGGGCCACAACATAGGTTTTCACGGAGCTAAGCAGACTTACAAAGCCTAAAACAAGAGGGAACACCAGGTTTTGCCTTAAAAATTCTCACTTTTCCTGATTAAAACGTTTTGGGTGTTTGCTTTCCCCCCCAAATGCCTCCAAAAATGACGCCCTGGAACCGACTGGAGCCACACACAGGCTCCAGCTACCGGGGTCACATGACACAAGCGAAAACCCCATCCAGGCGGGG